TCAGCAATTAAAAACGAGGAAATGATGAAATTTGCAGGCAAATGGTGGGATCTAGAAAAGATCATTCTGAGTGAGGTATCCCGAAAGCAGAAAGACACACATGGTATATACTCACTTATATAGACATATAGGATAGGATAAATATACTGAAATCTATATACCTAAAGAAGATAAACAAGAAAGAGGACCCGGGGTAAGATGATCAATCCTCACTTAGAAAGACAAATGGGATGGACATTGGATATAGGAGAAAACAAGTAACAGGACAGGAGCCTAACACAGAGGGCCTCTGAAAGACTCTACCTAGTAGTGTATCAAAGCAGATAGACTCATAACCAAACCTTCAGCAGAGTGCAGTGAATCATATGAAAGAAGAGAGAGTTAGTAAGACCTGGAGAGGACAAGAGCTTCACAAGGACCAAATATATCAGGGCACAAGGGTCTTTCATGAGACTGTTTCTCCAACCAAGGACCATGTATGGATATAACCTAGAACCCCTGCTCGGATATAGCCCATGGTAGCTCAGTATCCAAGTGGGTTCTCTAATAAAGGGAACAGGGACTATTTCTGACATGAACTCAATGGCTAGCTCTTTGACCCCCCCCCCCCCCCAGGGAGAAGCAGCTTTGCTAGGCCACAGAGGAGGACACTGCAGCCAGTCCTGAAGAGATCTGATAAGCTAGGGTCAGATGGAAAGGGAGGAGGTCCTCCCCTATCAGTGGACTTGGAAAGGGGCAGGGAGGAGACGAAAGAGGAAGGGCGGGATTGGGAGGGAATGAGGGAAGGGGCTATGGCTGGGATACAAAGTAAATAACCTGTGATTAATATAAAAATAAAAATTATTATAAAAAATGTAGACTTTAAGATACTTTTCAAAAAAAGAGTCTCCTAAGGAAAGAGATTCAGTTCTTTTTCTTACAGAAATGTGGTATCTACAAATTTTCTCTGCTTGTCCTTTTGACTTTTCCTCCCAAAGACCTCCTTACTTCCTGCCTGTCCCCTTTCCTTCTTTCCATATCCAGCATCACATGAGATGGAGGGGGAAGGGTGGGTGTGCAGTGCTGGATAAGGCAGAGAAGTTCATTGGAACTGAAAATGTATAAAAGCTTTTCTTTGTTCGGTGAGTCTTTCTATGACTTTAGAATAGAGAGAAGCTTTGTCACTTTCCCAAATGCCCTGAAAAAGACTGAAAGGGGATTGAGAGCAATTAAAAGAAAGAGGCCACAGTTTCTTTGTGAAGTAGACCTCACTGGAAGACAGGAAAAAAAAACCCTAGAGTTAGGGTCTTCAGAGACATAGCAACAATTTCAATGTTTGGGGCTGGGGGATGGCTGTAGAGTACTTGTGCACAAATATGAGGACCCAGCACCAATATGAAAATACAATGTGACAATACAAGTCTGTAACTCCAGATCCAGAGAGCTGGAGACACGCCTTCTGGGGGCTCATTAGTCAGCCAGTCTTGCCAACCAGTGAGCTTCAGGCTCAGTGAGTGACACCATCTCAAAAAAAATTACAGGACAGTAGCTGAGGAAGACGCCCTAAGCCAACCTCTGGCCTCCACCTGTGTGTGCTCTCTCTCACACACGTACATACATCATGCACACAAAGATTTCAATGGTTAGGTATTAATCACATCATGATCCAAAGAAACAAAGCATTTAAAATGTGAAGTGCATGATACTACTGGATATTTGAAAGCTGACTGGAGGATATTAGATACTTGTTATTAATTACTTTAAATTTGATACTAGCAGTATAATTATGCTTTTTTAAAAAGTTCTTATTTGGGTAGATCTGGAGAGAGGGCCCAGCAGTTAAAAGCACTGGCCGGTCTTCCTGAGGGAAGGGGTTGGTTCTCAGTACACACACGGCAGCTCACAGCCATCTGTAACTACAGGCTCAGGGGATGTGATACCCACTGCTGCTCTCTGCAGCCTCCTCTCTCCTCTCTAAGATGGAGATGAGATCCCCTGAGCCAGCTACCTAGCTGCCTAGCCAAATGGTGAGCTCTGTGCTTGAGAGACCATGCCTCAAAAAGAAGAAGGTGGAGAGCAACCGAGAAAGATTCCTGCCATCACCCTTGGACCTCAAGTCCACATGCACTCATAAGAATATGCATACATGCATACACACTACACACACATACACATGAAAAGGATAAAACAAACAGAAGTTCTGATGTTCTGGAGAAATATACCAAAATGCTTCTGGACAAAATGCTGTGCTGTCTGGGACCTCTACCAAAATATTATATTGGGAAGAGGTAGGATGTAAGTGAAACGACACTGGAGATTGGCGTTAACAGGAGAAACTGGGCGAGGGATGGAATGTCATTCTTCCATCTTTACGTGTGCTTCTCTCTAGTCTCTTTGAGGGAGAGGAGGTCTCACTATACAGCCCTGGCTAGCCTGAACTTAACATGTAGACTAGGCTGTCGTGAAAATCAGAGATCTGTGTGTTCTGTCTCTCAAGTGCTGGGATTAAAGATGTATGCAGCACCACGCTGGATTTTTTTTTTAAGATGGCGTTTCATGTAGACCAGACTGGCCTTGAAGTTAAGGATGTCCATATGTAGTTGATTTCTGATCCTCTTCCCTCCACATCCTGGTGCTGAGATTATAGGAGAGTACCACGAAGCCTTATTTGTGCAGAGCTGTTGTGCATCAGGCTTCGGGCATACTAAGCAAGCACTCTAACAACTGAGCTCCATCTCTACCTCCAGAAGAATTCTTGAAGTTCTTTGTTTGATTTAAAGAGAGAGTCATATTTCTGATTTCACTAGACTTCTCCTTTGGTGAACAGTGGGATGAAGAACCAATAGAACAAAAAGGGAGAGTGTGGAGCTTAGACAAGACTTGAAAGTGGGTTGGCTAAAGGCAGCAGGAAGGAAGATGAAGGGTATAGGCCAGCTCTGATGTGTGAGAGGGGAGGGAAGAATAGAAAAGAGAAATGGGTCCACAGCTCTCCCTTCACTTTCCACTTTTTCTGTATTTACCATTTACCCTTCATCTCTGTAAGATGAAAAACTCATCTTGGGAACTGAGTGAACAAACCATGAAATCGAGTTCTGGTCACAGAACACAGAGAACTACATTGTCAACAAGTGCCACAGGAAAACTGGGTATCTAGAACTCCCTGTGAGCCCTACAACCTAGCCCCTGAGAAGGGGGCTGATTTGTCATTAACCTCCACTTTACAAACACACTTGACCCGAACACTCAACCTTTCAAAGCCTGTGTCACAGCAGTTCACTGTTTCAAGCCAGGAAATAAAAAGGTGAGATATTACAAAACGGATGATATGTCTTGGTTTCCTTTAAATTATGTGTGGGAACATGCAATACTGGAGATCTTTTGGGTGGGAAAGAGACTTATCAGTCAGCTCAGACTTGAAAGGCATTACTCTGACCCTTACCATCAATGTTCTCTAACTTTATAGTCACTGACAACCTTCTGATTTGGAGCTGATAACAGGGCTCCACTAAAAAAGAAAAATACCAAAGCACGTAATGGTTGTCATAAGTTCTTGGTCATCTCTTTAAAATTCTGTCCTTTATCATCAATTTTAATAAACTGAGTTTCTGAAAAGCCAGTTGTTAAGCAGAACTAGGAGAGCAGAATTCTGATTACCCATCAGATCATTCATAATGAACAAACTAATAAACTTAAGTTCAGTCTTTAAGGTAATAACCAGACAATGTATCTAAGCTGACGTAGAACAGCAGCCCATTGCGGAATCTTGCCACACTAGGACAACCAGACAGAGAACTCCTCTGCCTGCACAGTCTTGGTCAGATCTCACAACAAGGAGGGATTAGAAATTATGGCTAAGTAATCAGGCTGTAGTCTTACTTACCTAGAACCCTGTGCCTGCTCAAACAAAACAAGGTCTTTGAAAAGTTGAGAATAGCCAGGTAGCCAGGTTGAGGAAAGACGTTCTAAAGCAAACAAGAGCTAAGTCTGTAGGTCATGGTAAAGATATTCCCAGAGCCTGGTGTTTCTTTCTCTGATACCTCTAATATAAATAGGAAACAGGAAAGAACAGCAAGCAACTAGACCCACATTCTCCCACAGAACAAGCTGTGACCAGTCAGTTCTAAGAGTTTTCCTTCCTTATCCCACTTGCAACCCACAAGCTAAAAGAAAAAGTCAAATGCCTAAGGCCTTCTAGGGTGCTCTGTGTTCCCACTTGGAGTTGAAGTCTTGCTCTTTGAACTACAACTATCCAGGGACCTGCTGGCATCCATTCAGGCCTACCACTAACTGTCACTCCCTGGGCCCCTGCAGTCTACAGGGTAAGCAAGTCACCTTTTGCCCTCCTCACCCTCCCATTCCCCAAGACAGAGAAGCAGGCAGGGACCCACAAAGCCTTACAGGGCAGCCTAAAAGCAAAACTCCTCAGCACGCCTTGGGCATTGAAACAGTAACTAACTGAGCCACGCCTCTGCCTTTCTAAAACACAGGGTAGGGAAATAACTCGGGCATATGCTCTGGGAGGGACAGAGATGTCAATGCAAATTAGGCTCAGGCCAGCCCGGTGCTTACAGTCTGAGCACTCAGCTGGGAATTACGATTTTTAAGAGTAGAGAGAGCATTCTGTCTGATGTGACTGAGAAAATCCTGAAGAAAAGCAATGTCAGAAATATGAGAGTCAGACACTGGCCAGGGGTCTACAGGTTAGGGAGAAGGCAAGACAGAGGTAAATGGAGGGAAGCACACAGAAAATGGGATAAGACAAGGAGGGAAGGGCCAGAAACCAGCAAGGATCAGCCTCAACGGAAATTGGGGCTCTGTGGGAGAGAAAATGCGCCCCTTACTGTCCCGGCCTAGGCACAGCCCGGCTCCCGTGGTCTGGAGGAAGCCCCACCCAGGCCGCGCTGTTTGCCTACTCTGGGTTTCCTTGTGTCGCGCGGCCCTTAAGTTCCGGCTGTGGCGCACGGGCGGAAGGTTTAAGCGGACGGACCGCGCCTGGAGATGGGTTCCGGGTAAGTCAGGGAATCAGCCGTTTGAGAGCTGTGTTTTTTTGCCTGTTGGGGCTACGGGAGAAGAGTTGGAGGGAAGAGCGGCTCCAGGCGGGCGTTGGGCCCTCGATGCGGCCTCCGCGGGGTGGCCGTCTGTGTGCGCTGGCTCCAGGCCTGCGCCCGGCCTCCCCGCTGTGTGGCTCGTGTCTTCAGCGCGGCTCTTGTGAACAGCGGGGTTTCGCGCCGGGGCCAGTGTTCTTGTGTTCCCTCTTCCCCTGAGAGACTTCCGTCCCCCTCTTTCCCTAGAGCTCCGTACAGCAAACGTTTGGGGCTCGTTTTAAAGGTAAAAGTTTATTCTCTGGTTGCAAATCCAAATGACGGACGCTGTGTTTCAGACTATTAGATTCAGCTGAGAACTCAGAGGGACTCATAGGGCAAGTCTGGTGACAGGAAAGCCGAAGTGTGTGCACTTAGAAACTGAAATGGAATCAGTTTGAGAGGGAAACGCCTGAGAATCAAATTGCTGTGAAGAGGCTAATTATCCCCTTCAGGGAAGAACTGTAAATGTAGTTGATGGCTTTTAGAGCAGTCAGGTGACGAGGATGTATCATTAGGAGTATACTGTCCAGGAGAAAAAAATACTCTTAGTTATTTCAAATAAGTTTCAGATAAAAAAAAGTTTCTGTAAAATGGTACAGACGCCTGTTGAAAAGGCCGAGAGCAGTGTGGGGAATCTTGAACAGAGTCAATCCAAGTAAGAAATACACCATGTTCTCTCTACTATCTGCTAGTAATGAATGTTTTTAATTTTTGTTTTTGACTAGGCACAGACTGTTTGAGTGAAACAACGTTTACCTCAGTGCTTACAACCTGAATACAAAATCGGTTTGCCACAAGTTCATCCCTGCTGAAGAAGTGCACTTGGGACCTGACACAAATGCATCAGTCAGGAGAAAGAGCCAGCTTCCCTGGTGTCTTCAGAGAAGGCCAGGCTGACAGCTGTGCTCACCCAATGCAGTGCTAACTGCAGATTTCATGGACTGGAAGTGTTTGTTGATACCTGATCCCAGTAAACTGGTTCCTGTTCTCTTAAGAGGTGAGGGCAGTATTCTCCATGACCTCCAACTTTTAAAAGGCATAAGGGCCTACATATGTAAATGTGACCACAAGAGCTGGATAAACCATACCTGAGCAAAAGTGCAAGAATCCCTGGTGTCTCTGCTTAAATAAGAAGAAAGGAAATAATATTTCTATATACAGAGTTAAACCTTATAATGTGTTTTGCTAATGAATGAATGTTGCTATGTTGTGATTGGGGGTTGTGATTAGTCATGTTCAGACATTGTTGAGCACCGACTGTGCCAGGTGTAGATCTCAGTAGACATTAGGAAGCAAACCCTATGGGGATCTTGCTCTTAGTGACTGCATTTAATACAATTCTGAACTCATTTTTCTTGGACAGCATGGACTTAGAAAAATGCTAGTATGTAGCAAACAGGGCGGTAATTCTGGGGGGTGAGGCTGACATCTCCAAAACGGTGACTGTGTTTAAAATGCATTGTTTAATGAGGTAGAGAGAGGGTTACATATTTAATATTTCAGGGGCTAGAGTGACTCAGTAGTTAAGAGCACTTGCTTCTGGGGGCCCTGAGTTAAGAGCCCAGCCCCCCACATAGGCACCTCACAACCACCTGTAGCTGCAGCTCCAGGGAACCCAATACTCTCTTCTGGCTTCTCTGGGCACCTGCTTATATGTGGCATGCACTCACACAGATGCATATACTGCATAAAAATAAATAAAATTTTCTTTCATACTGTCCAACATTTTGGACTGCTAAAGTCTGAAAAAGTAATTCAACTATTGGTATTGGATACATGAGATGTTACACTATTTGAGATGTATCTGTTACCATTATGTGGTAAAAAGGCATTTCCTGTTTGATCTGAGTCCCTAACTCTTACATATAACATTGTTTCCATAAGTGAGTTCCCAACAACCTAATCACAAAAGGAATTCTAGAAAGTCACACATTTATAATTGAGCATGTACTAACAGGCAGTTTACCTGTTGTTAAATTAGTAAGCACTGACTTTTGAAGCTGTTGGGTTTGTCCTGATTATTTATAATGTGTGCAATGTGGTTTTTCTTATTTTGGTCTTTTGAGACAGGGTTTCATATAGCTCATACTGGCTTCAAACACCTTACGTACCTAAGAATAACCTTGGAATTCTGATCCTCAGTCTCCTCCTGAGGGCTGGGATTACAAGTATGTTCCACTATGGCTTACATGTAACTTTATTTTATTTTTTTGAGACAGAGTCTTTATAGCTCTGACTAGCTTAGAACTCACTATATAATCCAAATTGGCTTTGGACTCACAAACCTATCTCTCATGTTCTTGGATTAAAGGCATATGCCACTGCTCCTGGCTTACAATGTGATTTTTATGAACAGACATGCAGTCTACACACACACACACATTATGAACTGCTTTTTTATTCATTCTTTATACATAAATATTTACTAAATCTGTGTTATTGCTAGCATTTGCAGATTAATAGAGGATCATCTGAATACACATGAGCAGATCTGTGTCTGGGAACTTTATTCTTGAGAACAGAGATGTGTTCTCTATACTGAATCTTATTTCATAATTCTAAGGAGCTCTTCTTTCATTTCTATATTTTTATTCATTTACACAGTTGCATGAGGAAATTTTTTTAATTTTTATTTTTTATATTAATTACAGTTTATTCACTTTGTATCCCAGCTGTAGTTTCCTCTCTCCTCCCCTCCCAATCCTACCCTCCCTCTCTTCTCCTCCCATGCCCCTCTCAAGTCCATAGATAAGGGAGGTCCTCCTCCCCTTCCATCTGACCCTAGCTTATCCGGTCTCATCAGAACTGGCTGTATTATCCTCCTCTATGGCCTGGCAAGGCTGCTCCCCCATCCGGGGGAGGCGGTCAAAGAGTCAGCCACTGAGTTCATGTCAGAAACAGTCCCTGTTCCCCTTACTAGGGAACCCATTTGGATAATGAGCTGCCATGGGCTACATCTGAGCAGGGGTTCTAGGTTGGAGTAGTATGAGGAAATTTTAACTTTCTACAAATTCTTTAATTTTTCTTTTCTGAAACAAAGGCATTAAGCCACAAAGGAATTAGAAACTTGCACTAATGCTACAATATTCATCAAGATACTAGCAAAAAACCATCAGTTGTCAGGTAATACATACCATACAATGGCTAGACATGTTCTTCAGTAAGCTGTTAAGGAGTTGATATAGGAGTATTGAATTACATTGTATAAAAATGGAAAATACTGAGTCAAGGACTACCTGAGTTTAATGCATTGCACTTAATGTCCTTGATTTATGCCAGTTAGTAGGTGTGTCTAGGAGAGGCCCTCACTGTGAACTCCGTTCAGTGCTTTTCTTCTTTAATTCTGTGGGACTTACCACCACGTATTTCTGCAAAATTGGTTAAAATTATTAAAAAAATTTTTCCTTCCCAGGATATAAGACCTTTATTTCTTTTCCACAGCATTTCACTGATTGTAGCTGGCTCTCTGTGCTGAGGGATAGTAGACTCCTCCCATCATGCCCACTGTGGTGGTAATGGATGTATCCCTTTCCATGACCCGACCTGTGTCTGTCGAGGGCTCTGAGGAATACCAGAGGAAGCACCTGGCTGCCCATGGCTTGACCATGCTATTTGAACACATGGCCACAAACTACAAGCTTGAATTTACAGCACTGGTGGTTTTTTCATCACTTTGGGAGCTGATGGTCCCCTTTACAAGAGATTACAACACCCTACAGGTACTCATACAAATCAGTTATTGTGGATAGGTTTTGACGGAGCTCAAATTTACTGGGAGAACAACAGTATTATGATTGTATACTCGTTTTAAACTTGGACTTGCTTCATAAGTGTGTAAGTGTACAGTCTATTACTGAAAACAAGGTCTTAACTTTCCTCTGGCAGAGCCATGAGATAGGGATGTTGCTTTCTTTTCTTCTCAATTTTCTGGAATCTGAGGATAGTGCTCTGTACACTAGAATTCAGCATCATTATTTTTAAACTTCACTTTGTTATAGCTCCATAAAGTTTAAGGAAAAAAATAGACCATCCTTAGTTTTTAATTATTATCATAAAAATCCAAAATTATATTTACTCTGAGATATAACTTTGATTTACAGATACCAAGATACACTTTTTAAATCTTGACCAGTAGGTATTATCTTCCAGGCTCTTCTGTGGTATGCTAAACAGTTGACTTTCTGACATCTTTGAATTACCAATTCCAGGAGAGCTTAGCATAGTGCCTTGCCCCCGCTGAGTAATCAGTGTTTGTAGAATGAAACAGTTTAAATGAAGGTTAGGCAAGTTAGAAAGCAAGGATCAATTTAGCTAATTAAAAAAAAAAATATTATATATATATGGAAAAGGGGCTGGAGAAATGACTCAGCAGTTAAGAGTACTTAAGAGCACTTACTACTCTTGCAGAGGAACAAGGTTCAGTTCCCAGCACCCAAGTAGAAATCTGAAACCTCTTCTGGTCTCTGAGGGCTCGAGTGTGTGTGTATGGCCCAAGCAAACCTCCAATTCTCAGTCTTCCTCAGCCTCTGTGTACTGGCATTACAAGCATCACACCACCATGCCTGGCTTTTACGAACTTTCTTACAAGTGATTAAGCTTAAGGATTCTGATACTCAGATGTTCTGAAATTTGGAGAACTGCTGTATGGAATTCAGAAGTCTCAGTTGGAATTGGAACCCTGAAGCAGGCTGCTTGGATTCAGGCGGCAGGCTCTGCCTCCTCTCATGAGAAAGGCACTTAGTGGTTCTTCAACTTGGTTTCCTTATTTAGAAGAGGGAGTGGCAGAAGTGCACGTCCAATGCTGGAGATGGTGTGTAAGATGTGATTTGATAAGTTGTCATTTTTGTGATGGGTTTTTGTTCTTGACTTCAATATTTTCCCGCAAGCCCACGTGAACACAGGCTTGACACTGCCCATTCTCACCTAATAAGAGGAAGAAATAAAAGAAGCTAATTGAATTGTGCTTTATGGTTGAAAAGGCCTGTCTCACTGTTTTTCTTTAAAAAATCTGTGCTTTGGGGTTCTCAAGGCTCTGTGTCCCCTTTGTAGCATATGTACATTGGAAATTTTGTGTTTTCTGATCACAAATAATAAGAGTAAGCACATGTATTTTTTATTCAACAAGGAGGCACTGAGTAACATGGATGACTATGACAAAACCTGCTTGGAGTCTGCATTAGTTGGTGTTTGCAACATTGTCCAGCAAGAATGGGGCGGAGCAATTCCTTGCCAGGTAATGATCAATCCTTTCTCATCACCCTAAGTTAAAAGCATCAACTGCTGAGTGCTTTTTTGTTTGTTTGTTTGTTTGTTTTTGTTTTTTTTTCAGCTCAACACAACATGCTTCATCATTCCACAAACTATATTTACACAATTCTTTTGAAAAAGGCTCTGAATCACTCTAATTCATCACACTAATCTGATCTGCATTATGCTAATGTGCACATGAAGCAGCAAAATTATGCTTCAGGGAAAATATCTTCCTATTAAATTGACTTATTACATCGTACTGTTTGTAGAGGGACGAAGGACTCACCAAGGAGTTTAAGAACTGCACTCCCTGGAAAGGGTAATTGTAATTTTGAGTGATAGAATTGTAAACATCACTATAATCTGGTCTTCTTCATTACTTCGGTGTAGAATTTTTCAGCAAACTTCCGTCTCAACTCTAAATTGTGTGGAAGTGGGAAGAGAGTATCATAAGCTTTGTTGCTTCTTTTGTGGAGTCCACAGTGGTTCCATATTAGCATCAAATCAAAGCAGAGTAGCAGCAGAAGACAGAATTAGATATCTGGTGTAAGCAGATGCATTGAGAAGTGGCTTATTTAAAAGGAGAAGACAAATACCATTAACAGGAAAATTATGGCAGTCTGCAGTCTTTCTGTGTTTAGGCTTTGCAGGATTCTGTAACACTCAACACTGCAGTTAGATTAGGATAGCAGCCCTAGTGTATTAAGTGCATGAGCATGACTGTATTGCTTTATTTATAAAACTAGGCAATGGTTAAGGTGTGGCCTCTGGGTCAGTTTACCCAGTATATGAAATATACTTTAATGGAGGGTCAAGTTCAAAATTCTTTAATAGTCTCAGTGACATTTGTATTTTAGTTTTTGATTCACAGTAAACTTGTGAAGCCAGGCATGCAGTACACACCTATAACACCAGTGCTCAGGAGGCTAAGGCTCAGTGATTGCCAGTTTGAGACTAACCTATGCTACCAAGTGAGACCCTGTCTTACAAAAACAAAACAATGACAGTAGAAGAGGTTTGGCATTTAAGAGCACCGTCTGCTCTTCCAGAGCACCCAGCTGGCTCACAACTATCTCTAACTCCAAGTCCCAGGGCATCCAAGGGCATGAAGCATCCTCATGATGCATAGACATACAGACAGACAAAACACTTATACAAATAAAATAAACAAGTACAATTCAACCGAGGGTGACCCAGTGTACCAGATTTGATTCCCCATACCAATATGGCAGTTTCAAACCATCTGTAACTCCAGTCTTAGGGATATGATGCCCTCTTCTAGCTTTCTTGGGCACTAGGAACATACATGATGCACAGACATACATACAGACAAAATACTCAAATACATAAAATTAAAAAATAATTTAATAAAACAGCAATAGTAGTTAAGATAGAAGTGGCCTGGCAGTGAGGGAGGCCAGAAGCTGATGGAGAGACAGAAGATGTAGGGGGTGGCAGAGCTGCTTGTTCTCTAGATCGTGGGGCCCTTACAAAATCAAATGCAGTGATCAGAACTCTATACTAAAAAATGCTCAATTTTGTTGTGTGAAAATTATATCCCAAGTCAAACTTTGGGGAGGAAAAAAAGCCAAAAACCAGACTGCTTGAACTCTTGGGTGCGTAAATTCCCTGCATTATTCTAGACAGCTAAGTCAGATCACTTCAGTAAACACTGGTTAAGAGAGGACAGCAAAAGGAGCTGGAGAGAAGGCAGAGTTACCAACGCTGGCTGTGGGGACTGGAGAGATGGCTCAGACCGTAAGAGCACTGAGTTCTCTTCCAGCAGTTCAGTTCCCAGCAATCACATGGCTCCCAACCGCCTATAATGAGATCTGGTGCCCTCTTCTAGTGTGCAGGTGTACATGCAGGCAGGACACTATACATAATAAAGAAATCTTTTTGTAAAAAAAGAAAGGACACTTGCTGTTTGTGCAGAGGACCTGGGTTGGGTTAGTACCCACAGTTCAGCTCACAACTGTAACTCCTGCTCCAGGAGATCTGATGGATGTCCTCTTTTGTCTTCCTCTGGCATCAGACACCTATGGTACATATATATATATGCAGGCTATCAGACACACACATAAAAAATAAGAACAATTATATTCCAGAAGACAGAAAATGCCTTGAGATTAATTCTTTTCGGGAAAACAGTATATAACTTTATAGGTGCTGTTTCCCTTGCCTGTATATATGTCTGTGCACCATATGCATGCCTGGACTATTTAAGTGAATATCTGATTTTTCTAATAATAAACTGAATAAACGAAGTTTGTTTATTTTGTTTTGTTTTTTGTTTGTTTTGTTTTGTCAGCATCTTCTGAATGGTAGTCAGCAGGCAGCAGTTTCATTTACTCTTCTGTGGTCAGAGGGATCAGAACTGATTCTAAAAGCTAGACTTTTGTCCCATGCAGACTTTGCCTTTTGATGTTTTATTTAGTTTTCTGTTTGTTTGTTTTTTTAAGGGGGAAAAGAAAAACCCGAATTGGAGATGAACTGTGTCAGAGGGCCAAAATCTACTTAGACTTGCTAAGTGAATCAAAGCACTGTATGAGAAATGAGGTTTATTGGTGATTTTTATAGTCATTTAACATCATTTATTTAAATATGGATTTTTTAAACCAACATTTTGGACAGCTGAATTGCATGTTCATTATAGAGTAAAGTCTGTTTCATTTTGGCGTTGCATGTGATTTATCTTAAAACATCTCTGCAGCTGGGAGGGGCTTAGTGGGCAAGGTGCGTGCTTTGAGAGCCTGAGTTCAGCACACAGACCATGTAAGGGCGAAAGGGGAGAACTGACTCTGTAGAGGCGCCCTCTGACTGCTGCACACATGTGCATGTGTGAGCATACACATACAACAGCGTCTGTGAAAGCTAGTAGAAGAAGAAATTGTTGGTTCCTAGAAGAAGAAATTGCCTTGTAGTCAAATGACTAGCCTCTCAAAAGATGACATCCTTCCGGGGGACCTCCATTCAGCATTTTAGGCTGTAGAAGTCAGTGCTAGTATTGGTACAGCCACCTACTAGGCTAAATAGAACCAAATTAATCTTCTTTCAGGATGCTTAGAAATCCACTCAGGGCTTCCCTATCAAAAAAAAAAATTGGCTTTTCAGATACCATGTGTTTTATTGGCCTTTTCAAATTTCATAGTAAATATGCGTTTTTAAAAGATCTTGATGACTGCTGCCAAAATGGCCTCAGATATTTTTATATGTAAAAGTCAGAAGGACAAGAAAAAGTATCAGATGCATTTTATTTGTCTGTTTGGTTTTGGTTTTTCAAGACAGGAATTCTCTGTGTAGCCTTGGCTGTCCTGGACTTGCTTTGTAGACCAGGCTGCCCTCCAACTCACAGTGATCCACCTGTGTCTGCCTCTCTGAGTGCTGGGATCACAGGCGTGTGCCACCGTGCCCAGTACCAATGCATTTTTAAAGCAGTTGTCTTTTTAGTTGACCAAAAATAGATGATTTATCATCTTTAAAAATATAAAAATAATGTAGCCAAAATTCAGACTTTTGGGCTGCTTCTTCTAGGGACACATACAAATGAGTCTTAGCATTTTCTTATTCTAGCGCCTTAAGTACTAAATCTCACCTGAGAGTTGGGGTTCTGGTTTTAATGCAGTTAAGTAAAATTGGCTCTGATTGCTTTTTTTCCTTTAAATGTTCAAAGGTAAACTTTTAAAAAATAATTAGAACTGAGTATGGTGGTGCATACTTCTATTCCCAGAGGCAGGCAGATCTCTCTGAGTTAGAGGCCAGCCTGGTCTACATAGTGAGTCCCAGGCCAGCCAGAGCTTTAAAGTGAGACCCTGCCTTTAAAAAAAACAAAATAAAAATAATTAAATAAAATGAAGGAGGAAAGAAAAACAAACTAAAAGATTCTCTAGGAATCATACTCAATAAGTGATTTTAAAAATATAGAGAGGTAGAGGAGGAAATAAAATTGAGAATGTTTTGGGTAGCTTGGGGAGAGATGGAGAAGGAGAGTAAGGAGAATGGATGTGATAAAAAAAAAAAACTTTTATGATCTGAACTTCTCAAAGAATAGAAGATATTCATACTCTATAAGTGTATAAACATAGAATGTTTGCATCACCCACAGATGCTGCTTTCCAACCAGAGTAAACCTGCTCTGAGAGTAACTTTCATCAGAAATGATTAAAAAGAAAGACATAGTAAACATTTAATGTACAATCTTCTTGTTTTTACAAACAGGTTGTTCTGGTGACTGATGGCTGTCTTGGCATTGGCAGAGGGTCTCTGCGACATTCCTTAGCTACTCAGAATCAAAGAAGTGAGAGCAACAGATTTCCACTCCCCTTTCCTTTCCCGTCTAAGTTATATGTCATGTGCATGGCTAACTTGGAGGAGGTAATACATTTTACTCTGTTTGGTCTCATTAACTAAATTTTAGGACTTGGGCTCTTTGTTGGTACATTTGAATGTGTTTTTATGTGTGTCATAATATTGTCTCCTTTGGTTTCAACTGAGGCTGGTTACAACTTAGAAAGACTCTGCATCTCAAATGTTCATTGACACTCAGAGGTGAGACACAACTCAGGAATATAGCTTTCTATATTGTTGTCTTTCTTCCTGCTGCTGGGTCGTGGAGGATCTAGGTGTTGTTTTGGGTGTTAATTATGTCCCTTATTTGGGAATTTTTATATCCATTCCAGCATAAATGTTGAAAGAGTATATGTGCTTTAGTTTTTTAATAAAATGTTACTCTCAGGCATGTCTTATTAAATGCTAGATTTCATGGTTTTTCCATTTGAGAAGGTTATTTAACTTTTCTTCACTTCATTTGTTGTTATAAAATGTAGATGAGAGGCAAATAGGTCTCTGAGTTTGGAGCCAGCCCAGGCTTGATAGCAAGTTGCAGGCCAGCCAGGGCCACGTAGAGAAACCCTGTCTCAGAAGAAGAAAAGAAAACTATAGATGATGGGTTTTCCGAGCAATATTAGAAGCACCTTGCTGGGAAGAGGCTAGCCGGGCTTCCGGGGGTGTTTCCATTCTCCTCCTGTCTGAATGCACCACTGCTGTCATTCCTTTATTGTTTTACTCTTTAGCCCTGAGTCAGGTTGTAGTTATTCCTTTGTCATTTTCTGTTAGGAAACCCATCTCAGTCATTTCCTGCTGGTGTCATGATGGCGTTAGTCTTGGTATACTGAGAATGATTTGTGTCACCTTAAAGGGGTCATCTCTCTTGCTTTGCAGCTTCAGAGCACCGATTCTTTGGAATGCCTTGAACGACTCATAGACTTAAATAATGGTGAAGGGCAAATTTTTACTATTGATGGGCCCCTGTGTTTGAAAAATGTACAGTCAATGTTTGGGTGAGTATATGTGTAAAGCCTTTCACCTTTATAGTTAATCCACATTGTAGTTTGACAGCCAGGAAGAATATCTGTTTTATTATTGCTGGTTGTGTGATTTAATTTTCCCCAAGGGTCCATTTCTCAGATAAAATGATTGGAAGTAGTTATTTGAAAAGTTAATTCGTTTTCAAATTAAACATTGCTAAGTCTATTAATACTAGCCTGAAAACTGGCTTTCTTATAATGGTTCAGCAGTTTCAAAGGTTAAATTGGTTTGGGCCTTCTCTGAATTGAAATTTTATCACAAATGTCAGCTTATATTCTGTATCACAAATGCTCAGGTTTAGTCTTAGAATCAATGGGAAAGGATAACAAAATTCGCATCTTTAAAGATTTCTTGTATATGTGTCATATCACTGTTCTGTAACATATTGCAGAAAGCTGATAGATCTGGCATACACGCCTTTCCATGCTGTTCTCAAGTGTGGCCACCTAACAGCTGATGTACAAGTCTTCCCCAGGCCAGAACCTTTTGTTATAGATGAAGAAATTGATCCTATCCCTAAAGTCATTAACACAGGTAACTTTTTTGAAATTTCCTTCTTTTTTTTTTTTTTTTTTTTGTTCTCTTTAACCTACCTGAGAGATAGCAGGTCACTATCTTTTATGGTGAGATAATTGAGTTAATTTCCAATCCTAAGTCGCTATACATACGCGGAGAGTTAGAAGTAATGGCCAGATGGACCTGCAATGACAAGGTGATTCTTCAGTCTAGTGTTCTCCCAGCCGAGCGACTTCAGCCACCTGAACTGATTCTTGGCAAAGACACTGAGATTGATTAGCATCATAACTAAGGGATATGAAGAGCTGTCTTCCAGACTTGGCTCTGTGACTTTTGCTGTGTGACCCTCAAAGTTGCTTCTTCCAGTCCTTGATGAGAAGGTATGAGGAATAAACCAGTCAGCCACTAAGGCTGAACCACTCCAGCTCTGCTTCTTGTATTATGACTAAGACAAAATGCTTTTTGCATCCTACGGCTTTGATCTATTGCATGTTTGTTGATGCCATGCTTAGTTGAATATATTGAATTGAAAAACTGCAGGAGAGAGAACTGTCTTCCTTTGACTGGAGGACTACTAAAGTGGTGAGTGCAAGGCAGAGCTCTTAGGGATAGCTGGCATCGCTATTGGTATTTTGATACCTGGTGTGGCACAGTCTGACACTCACTAGATGTTCCACAGGTAATTGCCCAGTCAATAAATGATTAAAAATGAGTGAGTGGTAAATAAATGTGCATTGTTGGGTTGTAGGGATTTTAGAATGAAAGCCTGTGAGCTGGCGTCTTGCTCTTGTGCCTTTAGCATTTGGCTGTCTGGAAGGAAGGTACCCACTTAGGTTAACTGTGACAGAGCAGAGTGAACTGCACCTAAAGGTTTACTTGTCTTCAGACCAATTAAGCTCTACTTCCTCCTGCCCTTCCTTTGAATATCTTTTATTTCCAATATAAACTTTTAGTCTTAATATGATACTTGTGTAACTTCTCCCTAAATCACCAAAATGTTTGTTCTAAGCACCTTTCTCCTCACATGAGAGCCATCAGCTGTTAGATGCTCAGCAAGGGGGTGCTGACAGTAGACCTTCAGGAAGCACATCCCTGGTGCGTTAGAAGAGTGATTATTCACCATGATTCTGGCATTTCAAAATTGTTTGCTGATACGGCTGTGCTTGTGAATATACTTTGAAGAAAAATTGAAAAACAGCTCAGTAAATACTGTTAGAGGTTTCCTTCAATGAATAATAGTGAAGGAATCTATTTTCTATACAGTTTTTAGTGTTTTCAAAGTACAATCAAATATTTTATTAAAAATTTGGTTTAACTTTATTTTATTTTTGAGACAGGGTCTCACAATAGCTCTGGCTAGCCAGGAACTCCACCAGTTTTGCCTCTTAGGTACTGGGATTAAAGGCGTGTATCACCACACCCACCCATGAACTTTTATTTGTTTCAGGTTTTTAGGAAATACTTTCTGGCTATAGTGTAGCTGTTGAAAGAGAAGAAATCACTATTGTGTTGATTCTGTATAGGATGTTTTTGTTTCTCAAGGAAATACTCTGCATGGGTATGGATGTGGTGTGGACCAGGAGCATGTACCCATGCAGGTGGCTGTAGAGGCCAGAAGAAGACATTAGGGGTCTCCTCTATCATTACCTGCCTTACTGCCTTACGACAAGGTCTCACTAACCACAAGCTCTTATTTCATCGGCCTTGTTAGCCAGCCAGCAGTCTCAGGATCCCCGTGTCAGTATCTCCCAGTCCTCAAGTTACAGGATTGGGACATCCCGTTACGCCCTGGTCTTTTGTGGAAGTGCTGGAGACGCTAGCTAACTGGAGCCCTCATGCTCAAGCACTCTTAATCACTGTCATCTCCCCACCCCAAAGGTGTGCTTTTAAATCGGTAGCTTTACTTTCCAAAGGCAGAATAAGGTTGTTGGAGGTTCTTAATTTTAACATTCCCTGTGACCTTACTGTCCTTGATTATACAGAGGAATTTGACCTTTAAGATTTTGCCTTGGCTAAGGTCTTAGCTTCATTTAAAAAAAAAAAAAAAAAAAAAAGTTTGCCTAGTTTTGTTATAAAACTTGAATTTGTGAGTTTGAGGCCAGCCTGGTCTACAAAGCAAGTCCAGGACAGCAAGGCTACACAGAGATACCCTGTCTCAAAAAAACAATAACTTGAATTCATCAAATAAAAGTCATTATAGTAGGAGCTACTTAAAATGAAAATTATTCATGATCCTCAGAAAATTTTAACAATTTTCTCAGTTTTTATATTTGAAATTTTCCCATTGTGAATAATTCTGTATTGACTCTTCCCTTACAGATTTGGAAATAGTGGGCTTTATTGACATAGCTGATATTTCTAGCCCCCCAGTTTTGTCCAGGCATTTGGTCTTACCCATAGCCCTTAACAAAGGTGAGTTCTCTTCTTACACCATTGGCTTACATGAAGCATATGATTTCAGTGTCAAGTGCCAAGCTGGCCCACCGGGCAGAATTTAAAGGGAAAAACTGTTACTGAATTGGAATTTAGAAATTGTTGCTTCAGATTCCAGAATAGATAACATGCTGCCTTATGCTGTGAAAACTTTTGACACATTACATCGTGTGTGGACTCATGGTAGAAGGCCTCTTCAGAGGTGACAGCTCTGGGATTCCTATCTAGCCTTTTCTTAATAGGAACACACTGAGAGGAAAGGGAGAAAGGACACCCCTGCTTTGTTTTTCTAGTTCCAAGCATGTCATAAACACGGAACATGATTGAGTATGTCATGACTCCCGCTTGTGATGCTTCAGTGCTGATTGTGCCTTCCTAGGAACTGTGACGTCATGTCCTCAAGTTCGGCATCTCTTTGAAGTATACCCACCTCTAGCTCTTTGCAATGTTCATTTTCTGTGCACTAAGCTGACCATCTACCTTATATTCACCAGCTCTCTTAAAGAAACGTAGCAAGTCAGACATCCCTCTCCTGAGTCAAGGGAGCACCTCATATCTTAGTGGGAGCAAGGAGCATCTGTGAGCACGCAGTCACAGCAAAAATCATTTTAATGGACTTTTATTTTGTACCATAGGCTGGCCTCACACCCAGAACAGTCCCTCTGCCTTAGCCTCCCGAGTGCTGAGATTACTGGATGAGCCACTATGCCCAGTTCACATGCAAAATCTTGACATTCACCCACAGCAGCTTATCGGGATCATTGTGTTTCTGAACTTATGTGTAATTGCAAAGACAGAAAATAAGCAGAGTATGGGGGCAGGTGACACATGAGGACTAGTAAGGGAAGACGACCAGGGCTATATTTTAATGTGCATTGAATACCAAGCTGTGCTGGAAGATTCCTCCTATGGAAGTGAAGAGTCTCTGAACAAGAGAGCAGATGGATATTCTTACAGGAAAGTTGATTGTAAGAAGACTCACCTACAGTAGTGTGTGGGAGACCTGGAGTCAGGAGGTTCCAGGAGAAGCCACTGTGTATGTTTGAACCTGTGTCTGCAGTGTGAGGGCTGTCAGCCTAGACCACACCTGACACTTCTGTGTCTGATTTCAAGCCTCCAGCTGGCATCTCACTGAATTTTCTACAGGAATGCTGCAAAATCATTTTTATAGACAGCTCTTACAAGCTATAATTTATAAACCATAAAGTGGATTATTAGAGTTAAGAAATGAGCTCAGTAATAAAGTATGTATCTATAAAGTCTAAAGACCTAAGTGTGATACCCAGCATTCCCCTGTGCCCCCACCCACCCAAAAAAGGTGTGTGTGTTTGTTTTTTAAACAGGCTGGGAAATGATGTCATTAGTGAAGTGATAAAGCGCTTGCCTTGCCAGCATGAGGGCCTGAGTCGAGTCTCCAACATCTGTGTAAAGCTGAGTGGGACAAACTTGTATTCTACTCTGGAATAAGTGGGTCTCAGTAATAAACAAGTAAATGTTGTAGAGAGAAAATCCAGATAGGGTGGTAAAGCGCATAATTCCACCGTGGAGGCAGGGCCAGGCGGGGGGCTCTGGGGCTCAGCCCATGTAGCCTGGCCAGTAAGCGCCAAGCCAACTAGAAAGCTGCTGAAAGTGGGTTCATTCGAAGAATGACGCTTGAGATTGCCCTCTGGCCTCCGCACACGTGCACATGCACATGCATCCGCACACGTGAACATGCACATGTGCATTTTTAAAGACAAAGATTATAATTAAGTCATATCTTTTTCCCCCCCAAGACAGGGTTTCTTTGTGTAACAACCTGGCTTTCCTGGAACTCTGTTTGTAGGCTAAGCTGGCCTTGAATTTACAGAGATCTTCCTAACTTTGTCTCCCAAGTGCAAGGATTAAAGAAAGGCATGTACCACAACATCAGGCCCAAAGTGTAGTGACAGAGTTTGTACTGTCATCACCACCATCCGTTTCAGAACTTGGGCATTATCTACCGAAAGAAACCCTATTAACCATGGATCCTAATGTCCCTTCTCTCTGTAGGTTACCTTTTCTGTATACTGCATATACATGGGATTAAGATACTATTTTAAAAGTTCTTATATGGACGTTCATTAGAAAACTGTGTTTTTGTAACTTGTTTTAATATTCCTTTATAGCTCCATGTATTTTCCCTTCAAGGCAAGAAGCAGCCAAGAGTTTAGAGTTTTGCAGCTAATCTCATGCTCACCTGTTTTACAGAAGGCGATGAGGTGGGTACTGGCATCACTGATGACAATGAAGATGAAAATTCAGCCAATCAGATTGCTGGCAAAATACCCAACTTCTGTGTGCTGCTCCACGGTAGCCTGAAAGTGGAAGGAATGGTGGCAATTGTTCAACTAGGGTAGGAAGATTTTATTGTATTTGGTTGGCCCAAAGGGAACTACAATGAAATGTTTTACAGACATTAATGAAAGAAATGGAAAATCGTAGTCAGCTTTTCTTTCCTGGCATACTCTTCCCACAGCCATCACCTTCTCCTTTATTCATCCTGCAAAGTAATTGTGAAACAAACTTTCTAATTGATGTTATGACATAATGCATTCTCTGTCTTCCTCTCTATTTACTTATTTTGGGTTTTGAGACAGGTCTCTCTGTGTAGCCCTGGCTGTTGTGGACTCACCTTGTAGACCAGGGTGACCTCGAACTCACAGGGATCTGCCTGCCTCTGCCTCCCCAAGTGCTGGGATTACAGGTATGTGCAACTGTGCCTGGCTGCTCCTCTGTTAATTTTTTTTAGTCATATATTTATGTTTTGAGAGAGAATTTTGTTTTGTGATCCAAGCTAGTCTCACACCCATGATCCACCTGCCTCAGCCTCCAAAGTACTGGGATTACAGCGATACCAACCATACTCCACCAGTTTTCCTCTTTTTAAATCTTGCATGGGCACTGAGAACCAAACCCTGATTCTCTGTAGGGTCAACAAGCGCCTTTAATGTTATGTGCTCTATTTCTTGACGCCTTTGAAGAGAGGAAAGATCAGGGGTTAAAATTAATCAAGAAAACATGTCTGCATCTCTGCTTGAATGAAAATTCCAAGAAGAGTACAGTTGTTTTTTTTTTTTTTCTTTCTCTTTTAGATTAATTTTATCTTTAATTTTGTGTGTGCATGTGTGTGTGTACATGTTCAAGTGAGAGCTGAACATGTACATGGAGGCCAAAGGGCAGAACTGGAATTACATGTGGTTGTAACCTTCCAAGCATGGGTGCTGAGAACCAAACCCTGATTTCCTGGAAGATGGACAAGTGCCTTTAATAGTCCTGCTCTGTTTCTTAGCCCTCCAGCTCCCACTGACTGACTGGGAATTACTAGGGCCCTTTCTCACTGTGTTGGGCACCTTGCCCGTGGCGTTGCTGCTGTGACTTCAGGAGGCAACTGCAGAGACTTGAGGGCTTCAGCTTTTACTCCTAGGCACCTGGGCTACTACTTACTGTGTTTTCACACTTTTTGTCTGTTAAACTGCTTTTGACACACACATCACATTCACAGTTTTGTCTAATAGTATGTATCTCAAAGAGTTGGAAATATTATATACATTTTTGGGTTTAAGATTTGGCTATGGTAAGAGTGATATGCCTGACCTAAAAAAAACCTTAAGTCTGTTGAAAAACAGAACCTAGACGTCTTCAACTAGGCAGTCTAGGCTTGACGTTCTGATTTTCCACCTTCTTTCCCTCTAGTCCTGAATGGCATGGAATGCTCTACTCCCAAGCTGACAGCAAGAAGAAATCAAACCTCATGATGTCTCTCTTTGAGCCTGGCCCAGAACCTCTCCCATGGCTAGGGAAAATGGCACAGTTGGGTCCCATTTCAGGTACAACCCAGACCAGGTCTACTTGTTTGACGTTGTTGTTCTGCTGTTGTGGGTATCTTTGAGTGGTGTTGGAGCACTCCTGAGCTTTCTGATGCTCAGTTCATACATGGAGGACCTCAGAGTGTTTAAGGACTTGAACTCAACTTTCTCAGCCCAAGGAAAACAAACATTTATATGGACTAAAGTAAGCATAGTGTCATTAGCAGCTCTGAATGGAAAACTCCTTGTTTTCCCTTTGTTCAGTCAGTCAGTCATGGGCCATAAAACCATCTTCCTTTTGTAAGCTTTCCCTCGACTACAGTGATGTTGCTGCTGTGTTTTTCCGGGCTTTTCTCTGACAGCTTTTCTGTTTATCACCTTATTTTTTTCTTTTTCTTGCCTCAGTTTCCAGAAAGTCCTATGCTTTCTCCTGTTGTCTGTGCTCACTCTTTGTGTTTCTTTGTCTATAGTGGGTTCAGACTCCCAGATCTGCATCTTGAGTCTCAGCTGGTGTCCCTCACATTTGTTGTAGTTCCAGTTCTCCAAGGCACTGTCAGCCTCAAGCTCAAAATATTTACAGCGGCTGTTGTCTCCTACTTCTCACTACTTACCGCTGCTTCCTCTTCTCACTTTGCTATTTCTTTATTTGGAGCCTTTGTTCTCAGCCTCCAACTCTGTACTTAACATTACTGTTGACCCAGTTGATTTCATTTCCACTTTAGAGACATTTGCTATCTCTCTGGGCCATGTGAATAAAGGAGGTAGCTGCAGTCTTCAAAGTCAGCTGGGAAGTAGACTGAACAGGATGCATGAGGTTAGGTCAGCCCAGAGGACAAGTTGATCAGGTCGGCTATCTGTGGCTCAGGAAGGTCTTCACAGGGCAGAAGCACACTGGCTGAAATTTGAAGAAAAGTTTGCTGAGCTGATCAAGGAAGAAAGGGCTGATCAAGAAAGCGAGCAAATGCCTGTTGGAAGGGAAGAAGCTGTAGCACAGCAGCAGGAGCAGGTGGTAGGTTAGAGATGGCCGGAGCTAGAGCAGAATAGGCCTTCTCTGAATAGTCATTCTGCAGATGCTGGGAAGCCACAGCTGAGGAATGATGTGATCAGCTCCTCTGGCTACTGTGACAGCACTTAGGATAGCAGTTAGGTTGGATGCTCGAGTCCTGATCCAGGTAAGAGATAAAACTTACACTCTGGGTCTAGTGGCACAGTTCAGTTGGTAAAGTACTTGCCTTTCAATGCATGAAGCCCTGGGCTCAGTCCTCAGCACCTCATATATCTGGGTGTGGTGGTACACACATGTATCTCAGTGTTTGGGGGGTTACAGGCAGGAAGATCAGAAGGTTTAAACTATCAGCCACAAGAGACTGAGACTCTGCTAGGGAAGGGAGTGAGGAAGGTGAGGAAAGGGGGAAAAAAAGAAAGAAATTTGCATTCCATTGTCAAATGCAGATTTGAAATGACTGGGGTGTCCTGCAGTTAAAGCTCACAGATAAACCTAGGGATCAGATGAGAAACAGAGCAGAAGAACCTGGGGAAAGATACTTAACAGTGTTTGCATCTGAGAATGATTCTAGTTTCTGGCCTAGGTACACAGTGAACAGTCTTAGTCACTTTCCTATTGCTGTGATGAGACACTGTGACCAAAGAATTTCTAAGAAGGAAGTTTATTAGGGGTTTACAGTTTCAGAGGGCGAGTTCATGAGCCTCATGGCAGGGAGCATGCCAGTGGGCATATAGGCATAGTACATTAGCTTTAGCTGAGAGTTTACTTCTGACCCCAAGCAGGAGGCAGAGAGAGGGAGCTAGCTGGGAATGCTGTGGGCTTTTTGGCACATCAGAACCCACCTCAGTGACACAAATTCTCCAACAAGGCCACACCTCCTAATCCTTCCTAAAAGTTCTACCAACTATCAAGCATTCAAATATATAAGCCTGTAGGATCCATTTTCATTCAAACCACCAGAACAGTCTATTAATTGAAAGTAAATGGGAGAACAAAAACAAACAAACACCATATTTTGTTCATGCTATTTGAGCCTGGGAAAAGCAGACAGGCCTGCCTAGAGGTAGTCCTTGCAGGAGTCAAGTAAGGAAAGTGACAGTTGGAAAACTCTCAGTTATAGCAGATCACTCAGGGCCACAAAGGTGAGAGTGAGGGGATTACTTAAGGGGTAGCTCACCAATTCAAATTTTTGATGTATAAAATCAGTGGGTTTAGGAATTCTGTTTTCTGGGTGGCTCTGTGGTGAGAAGTTATATATTTAAACTGCCTGACACCAAATTGGCATTTTTTAGTTCTCTTGATTTTGGTTTTGGTTGTTGGGTGTTTTGGTTTTGTTTGTTTTTTTGTTTTTAGGGGTAAAGTTGTTTTGGCTGGGGTTCTGTTTTGTTTGCTTTTTCAAGTCAGGCTTTCTCTGTGTAGCCTTGGCCCTCCCATCACCACTCAGTTAAACAAATTAGTCTAATTTCAGTTTTCAATATGAGTATGTGGGCAAAGCTTTCCTAACTGGTAGGAGTGATTTTCTGCTCTGTTCAGCCCAGACCATGGTAACGAAAAGGCGGAGGAAGCTGCTAGGTGTAATCGTGCTTTGTACATCTGTGGCAGTTCCATTGCCTCTGGAAGCAGGACCAAATACTCAGACCCTATTGATCTGCAAACTCTAAAACTGCACTAGCTTTAACTAAGGAGTTTGACTATGTAAAACAAGTTTAGTAACTAGTGGCTGTGACATTAGCACAAGCGTAGATGCTTCTCGCACCATAGAACATTTAGGTCATGAGTTCTGGGTAAATCTACAACTGTACATATGATGTAGCTTTAACTTGAGTTTTCCCGGTGCATGTTGCTTTGCCTTCTTTGGCCTTAATGTGTAGAGCTGATGAGAAGCTGGTGTCTTTAAGGACAGTAGGCTGGCTTTCACTTAGCTAGGCCCCTGCTGATTGTCTCCTCTCCCACTTTAGTGACTTATTATTGAGAACAGGGCCTCCACCGTGATTGAAGCTAATGTAATTTCTTTATTAATGATGGAGTGATTCAAAAGCTAATTGCCTAATTGGGAATGCAATTGTATTTGCCAGGTGTCAGTTTCAGAATTGTCTTTTTCTTTAAGATGCTAAGGAAAACCCTTACGGGGAGGACGACAACAAGAGCCCATTCCCCCTGCAGCCCAGAAACAAACGAAGTTATGCCCAGAATGTGACTGTCTGGATCAAACCCAGCGGCTTGCAGGTACCACAGCCTCACACTGCTTTCTGCTGCGGGCTGGTAGGCTGTTTGATTGGATTTTTCTCTCCTTTGATACTATGTAACTCAGTTACTTCTAATGTCTGCCCTTATTTCCCAAAAGGATATGAGATGCCCACAGTGAGACACATATATAACAAATCACCTTTTACAAAATTTACAGCAATAACAAAACCACAAGGGGAAAATGGAAACAGTTGTGTCTGAAACCAGAGGCAAAATATTAATTGTGTTTGAAGACTTTGGTTCAGGGCTTCTTACTACCAAGGTCAAAAAAGAAGCAAATGGTTGTATAGTAATAACAGAAAGCATGGAAACATCTGGAGAGGTGTATTCTCCCAGAATTGGATCTTTTTTTCTATGTTGTATTTTATATTTTTCAGACAGTCTCATGCAGCCCAGGCTGGCCCCAAACTCACTGTATAGTCTAGGTTGGCCCTGAACCCCTAATCCTCTTGCATTTACCTCTCAAGTGCTGGGATTGCAGACATGAGCTATCACACCTAGTTTACCAGGATTGGATTTTTTTCCCCCTGTGAAACAGGGTTTCTCTGTGTAGCCCTGGCTGTCCTGGAACTCTGTAGACCAAGCTGGCCTCAAACTCACAGAGATCCGCCCTACTCTGCCTCCCGAATGCTAGGATTAAAGGCATGCGCCGCCATCACCTGGCCAGCACTGAATTTTTTAAAATATTTTTTGAGAATTTTGTGTATTGGATGTTTTGATCACATCCACACCTCCCCCTTCCAAGTACTCCCAGGCCCTCTCCAACATATCCCTTTCCTAAATTCCTATCTTTTTTTTTTTTTTAATTTTTAAAAAATAACCTACTGAATCCAATTTGTGCTGCCCACATCCCACATGAGTGTAGAGCCATGCCCCAAAGCATAACTAACTTACCAGGGCATGTCCCTTAAGAAAACTCACTCTCCTCACCAAATATGCCTCAACTGCTAATTGCTCTTGAGTTAGGAGTGGGGCCTCATGAGCCAGCATTGGACTTCAGCTTAATCGTCTTCATGTGTTCCTTGCAGTGGTGGTGCACTCCTTTAATCCCAGCACTTGGGAGGCAGAGGCAGGCAGATCTTTGAGTTTGAGGCCAGCCTGGTCTACAGAGTGAGTTATAAGACAGCCGAGGCTACACAGAGAAACCTTGTCTCCAAAAACAAAAAAAGTTTTCACGTGCTCAGGTGGTGGGGTTATTTTTTTGGGTGCAGGATAAGACAGAATCTCACTCTGTTTAGGCCTTAGCTGGTCTGGAACTGACGATGTAAACCAGGCTGGTCTTAAACACGTAAGATCCCCAGCCTCTGCCTCCTGAGTGCTGGGATTAAAGGCCTTCACTGCCAAACCTGGCTATTATATTGTTTTATTGGTTTTTTGTTTGTTTTGGTTTTGGTTTTTTGAGTCAGTTTCACTGTATAGCCTTGGCTGTCCTGGAACTTGCTCTATAGTCCAGGCTGGCCTTAAACTCACAGTTTTGTTGTTTTTTAATAAAGCAGAATTAGGGTTTAATAATTTTAGTTTAGGTTGTGAATTACAAGAAGGGTGCAGAGAGGGAAAGACAGACCTAAGAGCATGAGTATGGACGTCTCTAAAAATTTCAAATGTCAGACAGAGCGAAGTGTCGGGGGTGCTCCTCAAGGGAAGGTACCCACAACAGTGTATGGAGAGGCCTAAGTCTCCTGCTCATTTATTCTGTTCCTACAGTAACACCCAAGCCAGTGTGTGTGTGCTGTCTGTGTGACGTGTGGGGTGTGGATGTGTGTGAGACTGTCTCTGTGTGTGATGTGTATGGGTGTCTCTGGCATATATGTATGTGTGTGTTCTTGTATGTTTGTGATGTTTGTTCAGCTTATAAACAGAAAAGGTTTGAATGCAAGAGTTTTTTTGTTCCTTTTTTTTTTTTTTTTATTTTGGGAAGCTCACAGAGTTTCCAGAGCTTTGGGCCTATGACACCATCATGGCAGAAATATAGGATAAGAGCAAAATTGCTTACCTTGTGGGTAAGAAGCAAAATAGAAACCAGATAAAAGCCAGGGTCTCTCATTTCCCTTCATGGTTTACCCTCCCAGGAGGCTCTGGCCGCATCACTGTATAATTCACAAAACAGTTCCACAGGAGTTGTAATTGTTAGCAAGGAATGCTGCATTTGGGCAAGGCACTCAAGACCTTTCTCCTTCCACTAACATGGTCACTTAGCTCTGTTTGTAACAGTCACTTGGGAAACCCCCTTTTGTGGGGGACACTTTTTTACTTGTAAAAACAGTGGGCATGGTGGTGCACACCTGTAATCCCAGCACTTGGGGGGCAGAGGCAGGTGGATCACTTTGAGTTCGAGGCCAGCCTGATCTACAAAGCCAGGACAGCCAAGGCTACACAGAGAAACCCTATCTTATATATATTTTTTTAAGTTCCTCTAACCTCGGTGCACTGAAGAGGCATTTAGGCTGCCTGGCAACACAGCTGCTTGTGCAGACTGCACTGGCTCCTTGGGACCTTTCCCTAGAGATTGAATCACTCCCGCCCTAACTAACAGGCCGTGGCCTCTTCTCGATGCTGAAGATCAGGGTCTCCTTCCTTCCTTGACCCCAGCACCTTGTCAGGAGGACCACAACTACTTTGACTGAACTACTCTTTTTTTTTTTTCCTTTGTAGTAAGTTATACATTAAGTTTACCACTTCAACCATTTGAAAATGTAGGGCTGACCAGTGTTTATGATGTTCCATGGTCACTGGCGTTACCTGGTTCCAGAGGAGAAATCCCTGCGCCCTAACCATTAACTGTCTCTCCAGCTCCATTGGAAGTTGATTTTTTTAATGTCCTGTGAGCTAAGTGTCCACCTTCATTCTTCTGCATTCACTCAGTTGTCTCAACAGCAATCATCCTTTCCCCGTCAGAGGTCTAGCCATAAATATGTGGGTATCCTGTGTCTATTTCTATGAAACAATTAGTTTAATACCATCAAGCTTTTTAAAGGAGGACAGTGTTTTTTGCGGAACACTAAAAGCATCTCAGAAGCAATCTTCATGTTGATGCTAAGTCTGTTCTTATTTCCATGTCTTTAAACATTTAAAGCTACTTATTGTTTTTTTTTTCTCCAAAGCCACAGAATCCTAATGTTCAATTCTTTATGCTTCATAGACAGATGTACAGAAGATCTTAAGAAATGCAAGGAAGCTCCCTGAAAAAACACAGACATTCTACAAGGTGAGACGTCAGTTACAGTAGGCAATGGTGTGCCTAGGGGATGCGCCTTCAGGGTGGTTACCGTGTGTAGAAGTACAAATTTACACAGTGACTGCAGTGAGGCACTCGTAAGTCAGTTTTCCTATCAGTGAAGTCAGGAGTGGCTGGGTAGGCTCTTCACCCCTCACAGTCCAGTTGAAGGCTTCTACTGCATAGGCTGTGAGGGGCTCAGACAAGCCAGCTTGAAGGAACCGTGAATCCCTGGCCGCCCTCACTCCTTTATGGGGAGTAGGGCTAACTCAAGCAGGAACTGCATGTGGTTCCTAGGAAATTTCACACAGCACAACAGAAGCTGTCTCCAAGAGTGACCAGCCAACAGTTAGTGTAAGGAAATGGATGTGCTTTGCAATCATGCCTAGCCTATCCAAAACCACACTGGTAGGACTAAAGTGGAAAAGGATGGAGTGGTGTGGGACATTTAGGCTCACTTTTTTTTTTAAAGACAGGATCTCACCAGCTTGGTCTGTAGATGAGGCTGGTATGGAACTCACAGAAATCTGGCTAGACTCCAATTGTAGTTGGCTGAATTAGGCCAGTGTGAAATGGGCCTAGCCTGTTAATTTTAAAATACATAATATAGGGGCTAGGGACAGGCTCAGAAGTTAAAGAGCACTTTCTACTCTAGAGGACCTGGTTCAACTCCCAGTGGCTCACAACCATCTGTAACGCTAGTTCCAGAGGATCTGACACCCTCTGAGGGCACCAGGCATGCAAGTGGTGTGCATGCATGCATGCATTCATATAAATATACGTATGTACAAACATACACACAGCCAAGACAAAACAAAATACAGCCTCGGGCAAGCATCTCTTCTGGAGGGCACACCTGCCTTGTCTGAGTGTCATCTTACTACCTTTGTCACTGTTGTCTTTGGGAAGTTAGACAAAATACAGAGTTCAACCAGAGAGTTTCTCAGCCAGCCAGACCTCCAGACTGTAACATAAAGCCTGTGACCTCTGATCGGCCGCAGCCCATCTCTGCAGTTTGTCCGCATGCTTGCCGGTTTTGTGTTCAAGAAGGCTTGCTTGTATGTAGTGAGGTGGCCATTATCTTCCCTGATACACAGAAGCTCCATGTCTGAGGATTAGAAAGGCTACTTCAGTTCCTCAAGTGGCTGAGGAAAGGGTGTCCTTCCTGTGAACAAGGCCTCCAAAAGCAAAGTGGACACATAGCTTGCCCACTGCATGCCTAAGTGTTTGATGGGGTGCTTTTGTGGTTTTCTGCTCTGTCCCCTCCAGCTGTGTTCACTGTCACACTGCAGGTCTAATCAGAGAGGCAACAAGCTATGAGATTCGGAGCCTTTTTCGTGCCTGAACGAGAGGGAAACTAGTCCTCAGAGTTGGCACGAATGCTGTATGCAAGGTGCTTGGCGTGTGTCGTAACTGCACCACCTGTGATCAGCGTGCTGACTGATGAAACTGCGGGGCTCGCAGCAGACACCACTTGCCCGTTGATGCATCACACCATTGTCCCTGGCTCTTGTGTAAAAAATGCTTGAAGAGCACTCTAAGCAGAGTGCTGGGCAGACGTGTGAAGAAACCTATTATTCGTGTGTTTCAGGAGCTGAACAGGTTGCGAAAAGCTGCCTTAGCCTTTGGTTTCCTGGACCTGCTTAAAGGGGTAGCGGACATGCTGGAGCGGGAGTGCACCCTGCTACCTGACACAGCCCACCCTGATGCGGCGTTCCAGCTCACACACGCTGCCCAGCAGCTCAAGCTGGCCAGCACTGGCACCTCTGAGTATGCTGCTTATGACCACAACATCACGCCCCTGCACACAGACTTCTCGGGGAGCAGCACTGAAAGGATGTGATGCTGGCCTCTGGGGCTTCCCTTCTCTATTCATTGTCTAAAAACGAGTTAGGGGTGAAACCTCTTCCAGCTTATTCAGCTCTGTGTAGCTACCCAAAGACCTAGAGCTGTCTCACAAACAGCCTTGGTGGGTTTGAATGTTTCTACTGCAGTCTGAGAGAAGGTCTGAAGGGTGGTTGTCTGGGGCTCTGACATTACTTCTGTGGGGCTCAGCATTTAGGTCCAGAAACAGCCTTTGCTCCATGACCAGCATGGCTTCTGGGCGGCTTGGACAGATGAGGAGAGAGCTCAGGAAGCCTGACCAACGAGGGTCTTTAAGCATTCAGAAAGCAACTTTTCTACAGGTTTAAGTCTCAATTATAAGGACATTCTTAAACTCCTGTGCTAGGAATGAGCAATCCAGATGTCTAGAACTTGCCTAAGTACAAACCTGATACCACTGAGTTTCAGAATTTTTCTTAGAACTTGTTTAGATTCAGTGGCAATGCTCAGGTGATTGTGTACAAATTTTTAGACAGAAACCACACTATGTGTAAAATCACTCCTGTTCATGTTTTTAAATGAAAATTAAATATTTGATTTTCTATAAAAAAAAAAAATATTTCACTTAGAGACAATTTGGTTTGGTTTTTTTTTTCAAGACAGGGTTTCTCTGTGTAACCTTGGCTGTCCTGGACTTGCTTTTGTAAACCAGGCTGGCCTTGAACTCATATCGACCCACCTGCCTCTGCATCCCAGAGTGTTGGAATTACAGACATGTGCCACCATGCCGGCAACAAATGATGTTTTTATCTATCTTATCCCTTGAATGTAATTCAGCTTCCAAAATGTCAGATTCCTAAGTCCTGACTTTTCTGGGGTTCCATATTAACTTCCTAGTTTTTGACAGGCTCTGGCCAGTGGTTCTGAGCGCACGGATGGAGAGTCGGGCTTCCCCAGGCTGTGTTGCAGTGCTCTCCCTGCTGCTCTGGGACTGCCATCAGCCCTCCTCAGGTTGCACCCGTCCCTGCTTGGGGTCTGGTGTGCTCAGGTACTCGTGCAGTACTATGCCCCAACAAGGGATCTTAGTCATTGAAAACCATTAGGTTGAATAATCTTTAAGCACAGGTTATTGGAATTTTTTGACTGTAAATGTTTTAATAGAAATACACAATCTTTCACTTTATCAGACAGCAACAAAGGGGATGCTAATAGCAACTAGAACATGGGATTTTGCACAACGATGTGGCATAGTTGACTGCAAAGCTGACCTGCCGGGTTGGTCCCATGGTCAGTAGAAGGAACACCAGAAGGCAATACCAACAATCATTGACAGAAGCTGCAGACCTGGGAAATACTCTTGAGTGAAATGAGGTGTGTGGAACCAGCCAGCTTAATGCTAATCCACTCTGGACACACTGCAACACAGGTCTCCTTTCCCCAAGCACCGAGGGAGGAAGGTCCGGAGCTGTCCCCTTAAGCTCTTGCTTCTAGTGTTGCTTTGCCGCTTGGTTTACATGGAATGTGGTAGAGAGACTAAAGATGTCTTGTACAGTGGTCAACCCTAAAGTCTAGATTCTGTTCAGCCCCTTTTTGGGGAGTTTCCTGCAGGAAATCCTCATTATATCCCAGCTCAGGTTCCTACTACACACAATTTTTACAGAAAAAATAATAATAATAAAAATAAAAAGCCAGGCTGTGGTGGCACACACCTTTAATCCCAGCCCTCAGGAGGCAGAGGCAGGTAGATCTCTGAGTGTGAGGCCAACCTGGTCTACAGAACAAGTTCTAGGACAGCCAAGGCTACACAGAGAACCTGTCTTAAAAAACAAACAAAAAAGCCACACACATACACAAAAACCTAATTATCAGGAAAAACAAAAAAAACCCAGGTGTTTGAAGTTTAAAAAAAGTAGTCTCACCAATCAGGAATACCTAAGTGAATGGACGGAGCTAGCCTAAGGACTGTAGACTGACTGTGTCTGTAGACAGCCCAGCACAGCCTATTTCAGTGTGACATTTGCCATAGCCACCATTACCACAGCTGATTCCTGCCTGGCTCCTGTATCTGTGCTCCCTTCTGACCCCTGCAGCATTCACATTGGGAATTTAATCTCAGTGTTTTGCAAGTAACGCTCCCCCTTTCTCTAGTATTGCAGACAGTTCTGATATAGCTATGAATGTAATCATGGTATTTCCATGATTGCTTTCTCTAAATCACTCTGCCTTTTCAATGCTTGGTAAGTGCTGTAGTCATGAATGTCTTTAGGCCAAAGGACATCAAATATGAAGTGTTCTCTAGCCCTACTCTGTCTGACTCAAAAATGTTTTATCAGTGACCATTTTTACCTGTTTTTCAAATTAGTGCTACCCCACTACACAAGTAAGGGCTTGGGTGTATTAGGTCCTGCCTGGGTCACTTTTGAAAATCTTCAATGGAAAAATGTAGCCTTGTTTTTTCATTTATCACAAGCAATAGCAGAAAGACCAAGCCTTAACTGTAAAGATAGATAGTGCCTGTAGGGAAGCACAGACAGTGAAGGTGTAGGGCCAGTCTCTGTCGTTAAATACACAGAATAAGCCTGTTGTCAGCTACCAGATATCCATGTCATGCAAATACAACACTAAGATAAAACACGGTCAATTCAGGAATGTTACTGGAAAGGAGACAGCCTTACTTTAACAAACAAACAAACAAACAACTTTTACATCAGAACAAGAAGGTAAAACAGTAAGAATCATAGATTCAGCTCAAATGAAGCTGCCCAATTTCTCTTTAGTGGAGCTTTTTCTTTTTTTGTCCATATCGCCGCCTGCGCTGTTTATAAAGGTGACGGAAATTAATATATAATCCTGCAAGAAAGAAAACAACTGATTAGAGATGCCTTTGTAACTAGACGTGGAGGTATCTGTGATGTTTCCCATGACTCACAGCACTAAATTTATTGCTTAGATACACCTTAACCCATCAGCAATACTGACCCGAGGTGGCTCAACCCTTCCTCGGAGGCCCGCGGCTTCACTGCTCACGCTCTGCTATACAGGTCTATTTGTCTAGTAAAAAGCTTCTGGATCTAACCTTCTATCATACTTATCTCACACCTATAACCTGTACATGTGACTGCATGTCTCAAATGTTATGACATTTAAGTACTGATATGCTCATCAATACAATTCACCTCTCCATGGATTTAAGTTCAGGATTGTTTGGCCTGTTTTTCCCCGTTGTGCATTAATGCATGCCTGAATCAGAAATGGAAGGTGACTCAAGGACACATCGTAAACAGCACAGTCTAGAAGTGCAACGCAGTAAGTGAGGAACAGGGTTTCAGAGGAAAATCTCCATTCTACGTAGCTCAGCCTAAGACCCAAAATTGTGAATTTTGGGTTTACCTAATTTTGAATAAAAATATGCACATATCTTTCAAATTAAGCAACAATAACACAAAGGAAAGATAGAGATAATAGGGTCAGTACAGATGGCCCCTTACAAAGGTGGCCAGCTTAGGCTTCAAGTGGGTCCTCTAGTAAGGGAAGTGGGGACTGCATGAGACACTCACTTGCCAGCTTTTTGATCACTTCTGGTGATCACTTCCTGGTGGGACTGCCTTAGCAGGCCACAGGGGAAGAGGACATGCTCAGTCCTGATGCATCTTGATGAACTGGGATGAATGGGAAGGGGAGCTCCCCTTTTCTGAGGAAGAGGCACAGGGTAAAGAAAGAAAGGAGGATGGAGGGAGGGTGGGAATGGGAGAGAGAAGGGACGGGGCTATAACTAGGATGTAAAGTGAATAAAAAATCTTTCTGTTTTCTTGGAGACAGAGTTCTACTCTATTGCCCAGGCTATAGAACTATAGAACTTGAGGCACTCTGCCAGGCTCAGTCTCAGCGCTGCTATGATTACAAATGTGAGCCACCACACAGGTCTCCAACTCTTTTGCTAGACCTGGGCCCTCCTAAGGGTATAAATCTCCCACATCAAATGATGGCAGTCACTAGGCTTTCAAACTCCTCGGGATATTTGTACCTTTCCTCTTGTTCAGGGAAGCAGCCTCTAAGATGATGGTCCCTTCCCTCCAGGTATTGCCTGCCAGTCTCTCTCGCAATGAACCGTGCCAGTCTGGCTTGTATTTAGGTTACAGAAGGTGCTATAGCTTCTCTCATCACCTACTCTCAGTAAAGCCGTGTCAGGGGCAGCCACATGGAGAGGGTCTGTGGCAGCCGCAAGAGTAAGCTCAGAACTGATGCTCAGCCCATCAAGGTCTAATCTACAGGAGCTGCAGCCCCAGCAGGCCTCTAAAGTATGACACCTGGAGCCAAAGTACTGCCTGGGCTACCTTCTGACTCTCAGAAACTACTAACAGTACTTGTTTTCAGCTGCTAAGTCTTGATAATTTGTTACCCAGGGAGAAAACTAATATGCTGGCAGTGGCTGAAGCTGCTGCTGCACACGGTTATTTAAATCTGAGTCAAATACAGCAGGCATATACCCCATCTAAACACAGTCACAGGAACCGTTTCAATTGCAATTGCTTTCAAGTGATTAAGTTTTATTTCTTGTTCTCATTAGTTCGTAGTTTTTATGAATTAATCTAGAATTTGTGTTCTACAGAAATCTAAATTACTAAGCAGGTAGTCGTGATCGGCAGGAGGCTTTCCAACAAGCTCTGCTGTCAGGCCATCACCATCTCCTGCCTTAGCCACCAGCTATATTTCCACTTCTTTTTCCTTTCCCCAAGACAAGGCTTCTCTCTGTCCCCATGCTGTCCTGGAACTCGGTCTACAGACTACAGCCTCAAACTCAGAGATGCTCCTGCCTCTGCCTCCTGAGCGCTGGCATTAAAAGCATGAGCCACCACTGCCTGGTTTGTATTTCCACCTCTTAACATGTGGGTGAGGAGTTGGTGGGCTACTCAAGTAAATGGGACAGGAACTCTCTTTTTAATTCCTTTATTTTGAGACAAGGCTCAAATTTCTGTGCTTTCAGCAATCATGCCTCAGCCCCCAGGCAGATTAGAATCCAGGCAGCACAGCTCCTGTCTGCTGATATTGTAAAAGAGCTCTCAGTGGCTTAGTATTTCCCCAATACCCGTATATAGGACAAACTCCCAGTGATGAAGAGCAGTCACAGTTTAGCTACTGTAGAAAAGATTTCCATAGGCAGCATACTCTCCGACTGGTTGTTTTCACAGAGAAAGCCTTCCCCACCCCCACCTTTCCGAAGTAGAATTACTGTAAGGACGCTGAGAGCTGAACTCGTTAGCTGTCCTGTCCAAAACATGACAGGAGAAATGTGTACAGCTGGCCAGTACTTACCTAAAAATAACATTACAAGGTAAACTTGAAGAAAGAAGGAGAATTTGACTTTCATCTTCACTGGATACGGCAAAGTGAAACTGAACCTTCCTGACTCGTTGAACACTGGAATGGACTGGATCACCGCCACAGCTGGAAACGTGGAGTGAGAAACAAATGGAACAGCCCCCAGCACCTCAACCTCGCAGTTCCAGCCTGGGGCACAGGAGATGTGCCCCGCCCGACTCCCCTTGTACAGAAAGCTCCCGGTGACTTCTCACATCGCCTCAAAGCTGTCAACAGAGACTGGTGAGAACAGCCCAGCATCTGGGCTTCTGTCTCCTCACCTATAA